TTCAGTGGCCCAAGTGTGTACTCTGCTTTGACTTCTCTCCAGCAGCACCCAGCAGGCCAGGTGTGGCAGACAGCTGCGTGGATTCAGGCCTGGACGGTGTGGTGGAGAGAGAAAAGGGTGAGAGAGTTGAGGACATTCACAAGATCTGGTGGAGGTGATGGACTGTGGTGTCCTGGCTGAGTGGGAGAGGCTGTGAAGAGCAGAGGGCGTGAGAGATAAGGGGAAAACAGTGGTCAAGAGTCTGGAGGTGCTGGGAAGCTCCAAGAACCATTGCCTTGGGAGTCGTTGAGTGCGAGAGCTGGGGGGTTAGGAGGATGCAGTCAGGGAGATGGTGGCCGAGCTGGTGAATTCAGTGGTGGAGCAGTCTCTGGTGATGATGGAGGACCAGGGCGTGGCCTTGGGAGCGGCACCAAAAGATCTGAGATTCTTTCTCACTCAAAAGTCGGTGATGGAGCCTGTGTTGAAAAGTGCTTTCACGCACTAACTGTACAGACACATTTACCTGTATGCCTGTTTCTTCTCTCCCTGCAGAAACATATGACGATTTTGATGCCAGGATTCTTGAGGTAGGCATGCTGCATTAAATACCCAGTTAAGCCTTTGGAGAAGTTGGGGTGGGTGGAGTGGGAATAGGGCAAGAGGAACTGTGAGGGAAAGCTTTGATGCGTGACTTTTTCTGAGACACAGAGCTGATTTGAGTAAGTAAATGATGAAACTTGAACTTCAATGACTTGATACTGGCTTTCCTGACTGCCGCCCTTTGTGGGGGCTACCAGTTGAGGTCCCAGGACAAAGCAACTTCGGTGGCATTGTCGGTAACAGAATTTGGAGATTAAGTTTCCTCCTTCCTAAAACTAAACTAGCATTAGCAATCTGTCCTTGAATTATACACCAGCTGTATGTGGCACTCAATGCAGGGAGCAGAGCCTGAGAGGAGCCGTGGGGTGGGGGTGGGAAGCTTGGAGTTGCTGTGAATGTCCAGCTCTTGATGGGAAGTGACCTGCTGGGCTGCTTGCAGGCACAGGGATGTGGTGAATTTAGTCAACTCTCCAGGGCATTCCCTAAAAGAGTCAACTTCCCTGTGAGCTAGTGCTGCACACTGGGTGTTAAATACCATAAGGAATGACCATTCATTGAGTTCGTGATTGAGTATGTATATTGTTTCTTCAATGTCAGTTGTATCATAGAATTTAACATCTGGTCACCAGTGTTTTATGTCTTTGGTCCCAGTTTGTACCTTTTGGAAGTTAATCCCTTTGAAGAATCCTGTGTGTGTGGTGGTTTCCTGTCAGGTCGTCCACAGGGTGGACGGGAGCTCCCGTTTCCTTGAACCCATTTTATGGGAAAGGGGCTGCCGGGTGAGCAGTTTAGCTCACAGTTTCATAGTCCCTGCCCTTTTAAATATGCCCTAAAATTGCATATTTTCCTGTAGTTCATAATAAGCAGTTGTTTCCAGGTTTTCTATTCTCAATTGAGCCTAGTCCTAAGCATAGAGATCCAGTCCTATGCTAATTCTTTCTGTAGGCTGCATTTGTCATTTCTAAGATGCACATTTTCTTCATATTTTAACATCTCTGATATTGGGTATGTCTTATAGTCAATCAGTTATAAACCGTGTCAAAGTATAATCAGCAACTTTTTTTTCTTTCTTGCGGTACGTTCATTAAAATAGGGTATGTTGAGTTGTACAGTTTCAGGTCCCTTTAAAAGTTACCTCAGTGGCACCTTCTAACAACCCTGTGAAATAGGAGGAGAAAGTCTTGTTTCCTTTTTGCTCCTGAGGAAACAGTCCCGAGAGAGGTTCCTTTGGAGAAAGTTTGCGTTTGTGCTCGTGGACTTGGAGGATGATGTACGATTCAGCACATGTGTGTGTGTAAGGAGGTCACCCCAGTTCCCTACTCCAGAATGTTATTAAGGTGTAATATTTATGAAACACCTTGTCTTTTAGGTCAGAAATGTTTTCAATATGACAGCAAAAGAGGGAAGGAAGAAACTGGTCTGCGCCCTGGTCGCTGTGGGGAACGGCAGAGGAGCCGCAGGTGAACGGGGTGTGATGGTCACGCGGTGCTGGTGGTGGTGGCAGAGGACAGGCGTGGCCGGGCTCGGCTGTGGGGTCTGCGGGTTCATGCTGCAGCCAGGGATTTCCTCCTGATTAAATCTGTTAGTGGTTTGGGCTCAGGAGCCTTGTGGTAAATCCATAAAATCCCTTACAGAGGAAAGAAAGAATAGATCTTCCTACATCTGTCCTTTCCTATGAGGACAATGGATACTTAAAAGACTTAAGACACTAAGGTGTTACATTTAATAGTGAAAAATTAGGGAGAAAAAACACCAAATATTCAACCATAGGGACATAGTTACAGAGGGAGTATAGACACACATTGTAATGTTTGGTGGCCATTAAAGAATTAAGGAAAATCACCTACAAAATACTGCTAATTAAAAAAGAAACTTCATATAAGACTGTGTAATATAATCCCAATTTTTGTTTTTTTTTTAAAGTATGTTTACATGCAAAAAAAGACTGGAGAGATATGCAATGAAAAAGTTAATAATGTTTAATTAGTAGGTTTGCCAATTGTTTAAATTTTCTTCTTTCTACTTTTCTGTAAAGTTTTCATAGTGAACATCTGTTTTTGAAATGTATACATGAATATGTAAGGGAGAGAAAACTGGGAAACTATCTATTCAAACCATACTGACACTTTGAAAACAAGTACTAGATCTAGATAGTATTTGCCAAAGGAAACGACTCTGGGTGGATTGTGGGGGAGGAAGGGTGGTCTGGGTGAAGGGAAAGCAAGATGAACAGAAGGCATATTTTGAGGCTGCCCGTCCCAGTAACATCCAAGACAGGACGCAAATCAAATGCCAAATGAAACTGCAAATTTCACAATGACTCGGGATGGGAGGAAGGAGAGTCACGTCAGAGCATCATCTGCAAAGCCTTGGACTATTAAGGGTTTATCCTTAGACCAATTTGCCACCGAAAAAGAGAAAATAGAGAATGACCATATCAAAACTCCTTTCAAGAGAATTATCAAATTTTTGAAACATGGAAAAACACTAGGGAAATCCAACTAACCCTTTTGTTTCTTTTCTTTTCTTTTTTTTTTTTTTTGGTGAGGAAGATTGGCCCTGAGCTAACAGCTATTGCCAATCTTCCTCTTTTTGCTGATGAAGATTGGCTCTGAGCTAACATCTGTGCCCATCTTCCCCCATTTTGTATGTGGGACGCTGCCACAGCATGGCTTGATGAGCAGTGTGTCAGTCTACACCCAGGATCCGAACCTGCAAACCCCAGCCTGCGAAAATGGAGTGTGTAAACTTAACCACTACGCCACTGGGCCGGCGCCTGTTTGTTTTTTTTTTTTTTTCGATGAGGATCAACAATGCGCCTCTGATGGCATCATGGTGTGGCTTCTCAGATTGCAATCAGGCAGTTTTGTTGAAAAAAGTGAGACTTCCCTCGATCAACACTTGATTGCACATTTTGTTAAACACGTGACAAACTTCCTATCATTTCTTAATTTGTACTTTAATTTTTCAAGATAAAGCCCCAATTAAAGCTTTGCTTCTAATTTACTACGAAGTTTTTTACTTAAATTATGTTTTAAGTGGACTCACTAAAAGTGGCCCTTTACTGGTATAATTATCCTGGGATAACAGAGGACCTCCTGGAGACACCACTGAGACCCAAGTTAGTCATGGGGTCCCCAAGGTGGATGGGAAGGAAAATGTCACCCAGTGAAACCTCTGCCTGAGGCTTGAAGCTTTGTCCTCATGGCCCCTCCCCAGAGGTCAGCCAGCTCCTGCCCGTCCGCCTCCACGGCTGGGGACTGAAGGCTTCTGAGGCCCCTGTTCTAGTGTCCAGCTCTGGAATGTCATGGGTTCTCTGAGGGAAGGATGAAGGAGCACTTGACACCAGGAGCTGACTTTCAGGGTTCCTGACTGAGCGCCCCTTCCTATCACCTCCTCTCCTTTCACCTGGACATCTCACTCCGAAACGTGACCTCAACTCTGTCACCTCACTTCCTGTCACTCTGTAGTCTGGTCTCCTTCCTCTCCTCTGGAGTGGCCCAAGGAAATTCTAAAAACAGTTTATTATCCAAATCACTAACTGGAACAGAACACACAGCCCACCGCCCAGATCATATCTGATCAGCTTCACAGAGTGAGAAGAAACTTCTGCACCTTGTTTTCTTGTGGCTTGAGGATTTTCAAATTGAGCACAGACCCCTTTGTCTTGTAGGAAAAAGAAGGGGACTCCCAGGCCAGTACTTGGCAAGTTTCCAGAGAGGGTGAAGCCATCTGACGCCCCTGGTAGCTGGGAGAGTGGGAGACCGAGCGCCGGGCTCCCTGAGTGCAGTGGCCGAGCACACACAGCTGTCATCTGAACTGCCATTTGATGCTGCCTTTAGAGATTCCGTGTAAGCCAAAGGATTCCCCAGAAAGAAACTGAAATGACGGTGTTCCTGATACTGGGGAATTAACAAAACCCAAAAAACACTCCACAAAAGTATTGAACACAAAGGCACTTTATAAAGTAGTTCAAAGGTTTGTCATCTTCTACCATGGACATCTGCAGATATTTGTGGGGGAGGTTTACTCCTTATGACACGTAGAATATCCATGAAGACTTAGAAACATGCCACTAGATTGGTTCTCAAAAGAGCCTGTGGAAAATTCCAGTAGAGACTTCTCAAGATCCAGTCCAGGGATCAGCAGGGGATCTTTGTTTCCTGGTCTCTCAGATCACAATCCCCACTTCCCACCACACTGCCCCCTGTCACAAATAGGAAATGACCCTGAAAGACGGCTCAGTAGTTGGAGGTTAAATGCAGCAAATGCCCAACCCTGACATGAAGCGACATGGGAGAGTCAACATAACCGCCACAAGATGCAGAGTGTTGCTCTTCTTTTGGTTTCTTTTTTCCACCATCGAGAACATTTCTGCATTCTAAAGAGTTATGCTGGAAGGCAGGCCAATCAGCTAACACCGCCTGGGTTTTCAGCTAATGGTCTTCAACTGTCGTCTAGCAAAGGCCACTTCCATCTGACTACAGAAAACACTGCATGGACCACGTACAGCAGCGTTGCTATGTATGAAAACATCTGAAACCAAGATAAGTGACCATTAATGGGCATGCATGGGTAGAAGGTAAAGCATGGGGTGTCCACACTGGGCTGACCACTCCCATGGCACTGGGGATGATGGAGCTGAAGTGTGTGGACTGCCGCTGCTTCCCATCACTCAGGCAGACATCCTTTCTTGCTGAGCCCAGATGTGGCCCCAGAATGCTTTCAGCATGGAGCTCCAGGCGCCCTAATGATCCACCGGATGTGGCGTGCAAGGTCAACTATCTGTCACCTCACAACAACATGTGGGTGCCACCCAACTGGAAATGGGAGGCTTCAGGGGCCCCTCAAATGATACAGGTGAGTATCAACTGCTCTCCATGGGAAATTGTCTTCCTCCACACCAGTAAGACTGGAGTCCACCAGCTGTGATCCCAGCGGCCTTGGCGAGGAGAATATGAACACACGGGTTTGCTGGCTCTGGTTAAGGTCTCCATGCTGCCTGGACATTCTCAGACCCCTCTCAGAATTTTGTTCTGGATTCTTAATTTCTCAGGCACGGGCAAGGGAGCCAGGCTCACAGGACTGAGGGACAGGGACAGGCAGGAGGATTTTGAGCTTTTGCAGAAAGGAGCAGGCTGACTGAGAAAGCTGCTGGGAAGATCCAGTCAGCTGTTTTTGGTGCTGGGAAGAAAGACCCTGGAAATGTGGCAAATGGTCACTCTGTGGCCTGTCAAGCCCCTGACGTGTTGTGTCACGTGGGCACCATCTATTCAAAAGGCTTGCCTGCCCCCAAGTCCAATATCTGCACCTGGTTCTGTGACCTTGGGCATAGGGTCAAGAGTTTCCAGCCCAGGCACAGCATTTAGGGGCTGCGCTTCCGTGACCCTTGAAAATGCCCATGAACACCAGCCGTCCCCGCGCCTGCTCTCTCCCTGCCCCACACAGGGGCGAACCCTGCACCCTCATTGACCAGAGGCGATGAGTAAGCCCAGTTATTTAATAACAAATTTAAGAGAACTCATCCGGGAACTCTGAAGTACCCTGGCTGAAAGGAGCAGTCACACGTGTGAGCAGCCCCCAAAAACACCTCTCCCCATCAGGTGGGAGCAGTTTACTGTCTGAGCTGTTCCAGACCCAGTGAGAACCCTTGGGAGATGCACCTCAGAAGTCCCCACGGGAACAGGAAACAGGCTTATTTTCCAAGTGAGGGCAAGAAATGGCACCCTGGGGACATTGACAGCCAGGGACATGAAGGGTCATCCTTAGGGTTTCAGAAACCCCTCTCCCTAAATGGCTGCCATTATTGCCCACCACTGTTAAGATCCAGAAACCTCCAGCTTCCTGCAGAAATTTCCAGCTACCCTGAGTCAGCTCCCACCAATCCCAGGGGTCCCTTCAGTGCAGACTCTGTGCTGCCAGCAAAGGAGGGAGAAGCTCAGCTTTTGAGGCAGGTCCCCATCAGGAACCACAGAGGGCAGGAGGAGGCCAGATGCTTCCAAAGGCCAGGGGTGTGTGGAAGAAGGTCTTGAGACGCCTAGACCTTTGGGAAGGGCATGTGATGGTTGGGCGGGGTCTGGGGTTAAATCCTCAGTAATCATGACCCCTCCTCCCCTGTGCACTGACACAATTGATATTGTGAATAGAAAGGTGAGACTTCACAGTGAACCGGGCTCATATTTCTCCTTGGTGGTTCCAGCCCAGCGCCCCTGCCTGCCGAGAACATCGTGATGCTTGATTCTGGCACTCCTGACTGTGCCTGGGCATGCTCATGTTTCTCCAACTCAACTAACAAACGGGGGGACACGATCAATGGTGGAGTGGATAAAGGGACGCTGGTGTAGTCATGAATGGAATACTCCACAGCAACGAGAATAAACACTGTACATCTCCACCCAACAGTGGGGCTGAGCCTCACACACCTACGGTGGAGAGAAAGAAGCCAGACATAAAAGAATACACACTGTGTAATTCCATTCACGTGAAGTTCACTAGCAGGCAAAATTAAACAAAGCAGCTAGAAATCAGGACCGTGGTTCTCCTTGGTGTGAGTGCACAGTGATGGGGGCAGGACAAGAAGGGGATTTCTGGGAGCTCTGTATGATGTTCTATTTCTTAATCTGGATGCTTGTTACACGGAGGATTTCACTTTATGGAAACCCATCAAGCTGTGCACTTGCATCCTGCTCACTTCTCTGGATGTGAGTTGCAGTTCAATAAAAAAGTAAAAGAGAAGTCAGAATTTGGTGGAGCCCAGAGGTTCTCAGCTAGAGATCTGTCCAGTGGGCAAGGGCACTAATTCACCCCATCTGGGTTGTTCCATCAAGTGCTGACCCACTAGCCACATTCCATCTACATTTTAGTACCGTGGTCAGCAATAATTTTATGGAAGTTGTTGTCAAATGCCTTGCTGATGTCTGTTTGGAGAGAAGCCTTGTGGGGTTGGGGTGGGGGAGTATAAGGCTCTCTAGGTGAGGGGGAGATGAAACAGAGTCATTTGAAGAAATAACGGAGGAGGCAAATGACCAGCCTCCCAAGGGATGGGAGAGCAAGCAAGGGGCTGCCTGGCTGTCCCACTGTTTAGAAACCAACCATCTTGGGAGATGAGCCAATATGGGAGACATTGCCACACTGAGGGACATTTGAGCGGGATGCAGGGACCATGAGGTGGCCATGTTGATGACCTGGGGAGTAGGCTGGGAGCTTAAGAGGAGCATGTGCCTTCCCCAGGGCAGAGGACGGGCCCACAGGGACCAGCAGACAAGGCTTTGAGGAACTTTCCCCCAGAGCCCAACAGTGCCCACCCTGTGGGTTTTCTCTCAGCCTCTGCTCTGTCCTCTCCAAAATGGGGGGACAGCACAGCTTTGGCTCCTGGAGCTGACATCTTGTGATCCGTCATTACGTTTGACCTCAGGCTTTCTGTAATTCATAGGTTGACCACTAGAATTCTGAGGAGTGCTACTTCCGGAAATTCTTCTTATTTCTTAAACAATACCCATGGTTAGAAATAATTTTGATATGGTGCATTAGCATACTGGTGCAAGCCCACCCATGCACGGCTCTGGAAAAAAGTTTTAGGAAACAATACATTCTCTCCCTCCTGTCATTCCAACCCATTCCATTAAAAAGAAAATCCAGGTCATGACCTCACATGACCTCACCCACCGATGGGTCTGGCCCCTCAGTTGGAGAACGTTCCTATTAGAGCTCACAGACCTGCAGGCAACGTGCCCCCCAGTGACACACAGTTGGCACCCCCATTTGTTCTGCTGATGGGGTGAATGAGGTTCAAGCCCCTGTTCCACCCAGTGCTCCCTGTGAGGCCTCGGGAGGAAGCTGTTTAATATCTCTGCAGTCCTCGAGGGAAATGGGCAGGAATTACTGTCTCATTTCATAGACGAGCAGCCGAGGCCCAGAGAGCACAAGGGACCTGCACAGGGAATTGGTGGAGACGTGACCTCCAGCCCTTCCTCCTCCCACAGTTTCTCAGAGCTGTGGGGCAGGAGACACCGTCATGAAGAGCTGAAGGCCTGATCACAGCAGCAAACACCCACAGCTGGGGGTCGGCACATACTGGGTCCAGAAGGGCCTCCCCACAGCCTCAGCCCCAGAGCCAGGGCCTGGGGAGACACTGGTCACTCGATTTTCCAGCCCAGGCCTCAGTGCTCCCTACCCCACTGTGTGCTTCCACGGAAGACCACTCAGGGAGAGCCAGGAGACCCAAGTGGCCAGACTCACTGCTCCAAACTGGTGCTGAGTGTGGGTGACAGAGCACCTGGCCGGGACACCAGCCCCACCAATTCCTGGTGATCTGGAGCAGGTTACCCATGCTCTTGGTGCCCTGGCTCTCCACCTGTGAAATGGGGATGATAACAGCGCCTACATCCCAGGGCTGTTGTGAGGGTTCAATACAATTGTTCACGGAGAGCTCAGGCAGTGCTGGGCACTCAGCGGTCATGTTTCCTCACACATCCGCCCCCACAAAGCCCACCCAGGCACGGACCCCCGGCCAGCCCCGGCCTGGGCAGCGCAGCACTGACTGGATGATAAAGGGAGTCTTGGGCACTTCCCTTCCCTTCTCTGGGGTTTGTTTTGTCAGAAATGAGGGGGAAGTTTATCTCACTCAAAAGTTAGTGAACTAAAATGGGGGGTAGGCAAAGGGGTAAAGCAGCACATTTATATGGTGACTGATATATAACAATATACACCTGAAATTTCACAATGTTATAAACTATTATGACCTGAATAGAAAAAAAAAAGTTTTCATCACAGGAAAAAAACGTTTGTAACTATGAATGGTGATGAATGTTAACTAGACTTATTGTGGTGATCATTTCATAATATGTAGAAATATTGAATCAAAAGAAAATCTAAATGCCAAAAAAATCCATTGTGAACAAAATATCCAAATTTTAAAGATGGGATGAGTAAAAAAAATATTTAGTGAACTAAAAAAAGAGGGGAGGCGTTGGGCAGCCTTCCTCTCAGACCCTCTGTCAGTGGGCGGTGGGAGCTGTGAACGCGGGCAGGACGACTCACCGCAGCAGAGATGTTTTCAAGGTACTGTTCGTAGGTGACGCTATCTTCCATGGAGATGGTGGCCAAAGCTTCCAGGAAGGAGGCGCTGAGGTAAAACAGGGCGGCGATACAGTGGTAGGCTGTGTCCTGCAGGGTCAGAAGGGGCCATCAGAGAGATCAGGAGACTAGACGTGGAGACGTGGTGCATCTGTGGTCCCAGCAGGGCCCCTCCACCCCACCTGTCCCCTCTCAGCATGCTCAGGTCCCTTGGACATCCTATGCTACTTCCTTTGACTCCCCCCACCCTATCCACCATCACCATATCCTCCAACCCCCTCCTCCCAGAGGTCATTTGCCCCCCTGAGTTTATTCTTGCTGGTTTGGGGGCGACAGTAAGGACTTCAATGGAGAAGGGACACTGCTTTCTCTCAGGGGCGATCAAGTGAGGGGGGGCAACTTGGGATTGAATAGGTAGAAATTGGTTCTGGACCTGAGGAGTGTCATCCGTGGTCACAGTCCTGGTTCAGATGTGGCCTCGGTGACCAGCGCACGTGAGAGAGGCCCAGGACATTTCCATTGTTGTTTTGTTGCTGCTCGTTTTTTTTTTGGGGGGGGTGCTGCAGGCATGTTTACAAGCAAAAAAGTACTAGAATGGGGTTTTGAGTAGCTGTAATGTGGAGGTGATTTCACAAGTCTGAGGAGGAGACCTTTGGAGACTGAGAGGCCCGGTCAAATGGCCCCCACCCCCTTCCAGGCGACATAAGGGGAAGGGGTCCATGTGTAAGTTTCACCCTCTTCATGGGCCTCAAGAATTTATGCAGAACAGAGACCACAGGCCTTCTCTCTCCCCCACCAAGCCCCTCTCTGGTGACCCGGCTTTAGAAGGCTGTGACTGGGAGCTGGGCAGTAAGCAGGGCCTCACACGGGCAGCCAAGGCCAGTCCCCAGGACCCTGCTCCCCCGAGATGGAACCCAGCCCTCCTGGACGATAGGAGGTGCCAACAGGCCCTGGCAGGTGCAGGCGGGATGGGAGGGGGGTGGGCTGCTGGTTACCCATGAAAAGGCCGTCCTGCAGGAGGAGGCAGAGCAGCCCCAACGGGATCAGACAGCGACAGCCACCCTCTGCCCTCACCTCCTCCTGACCTTGCTGCAGGAGCCCTGGGCTGCTGTGCACACTCGGAGCTGAAGGCCTGGCCAGCTCAGCCTTGGAACGCGGGTGGGAGACATCTACAGGGCAGCCTCACCCAGCGCTGGAGAAGCCAGCCTCCCAGGGCAGAGGGTCCAATACTACCCACCCCCTCAAACATCCAGGAATGCGACTCACCAGCGAGACCCAGGGAATATTCCCTTTATTGGCACCAGTTAGGTAGAGGAAGAGCAGGGCAGTGGTGCCTACGAAGCAGAACACAGACACGACCATCACCCAGCCCTGGACCAGGGGGAGGGGCACCTGGGACAAGGCGATCAGGATCCACACTGGGGCCCCCAAGACCTGCAGAGGGAAGGAGGGCAGGGGTGAGCATTGGACCAGGAGAGCCCATGCCCAGGAAGGGCCAGACCCAGAGGTCACGCTGGGGCACGAGGGGCAGAAAACAGGAAGGAGGCAGAGAACAGTGGCGGGCATTTTCCTCACCAAAAATGACTCTTTCATCCCCCAAGGCTCTAGTCTGGATCTCCAGTCTCAGTCTTTCCCAATCCTCTGCTTGCTTGCCTTTATTCACTTTTTAAATAAAATTTAATTTTTTTTATTTAAGGAGCACTTAGATCACATTTATATGCCAGGCACTGACCTAAGTGCTTTACAAATATTAACTCAGGCAATCCTCACACAATCTTATGAGGAAGGTAATGGCCCATTTGTCAGATGGGGAAATTGAGGCATGTGGAAGTTAAGTAATTCATCACCCCAAGAAAGGACTTATGCCATCCAGTATTATCATTAGGAAGGCTAATTCTGAAATTATATACTTCCTAGTATTTTTTATATAAAAATATCCTTTCTTTTATGAAATGGTAGTGACCAGAAGATTCTTTTGGTCTTTATTGGCAAAATAAATTACCCAAACTATGTCACTAGTCTGTTCTTATAAAAGAATTGACCCCTTAAGTCCCCAAGTCCAGGACATGCTCTGAGCGCTAGAGTTGGAGCTGGAGAAAGGGCCCAGGTCAGCCCCATCTCCTCGGGTGGCCGAGGATGGGCGTGAGAGAAGCACTCCCCCGTCATTACCCAGAAGACACCCCAGTTGATGCTCACAGGGTCAGTGAGTCCCAATCAAAGAGGAGAGTAGGGACAGACGTGGGGTCATGACACCCCTCAGTGCCACAGTCCCTCTCCCCCTGTGGACAAGCACACCCCAAGGTGGGATTCTCTGCACTTCTCTCCCTTCTCCTTGTCCCTCTTCATCCCAGTGACATCAGCTCAGCCTCATCCACTGTCCCCACCCGGACAAGGACTGTGCTGGGAGTGGGCTGGGACACGGGTGGAGATGGCTTTGCAGTCAGAGGTTCCAAGGTACTGTGACCCGGGGCACCATCCTCCCGGGCACCTGGGGGCTGAGGACGGGCTGCCCCCACAGTCCTACATCCCCTGTGGTGTGAACTCAAGTGGTACCTTGTCCTCGTCTCCTGTACCCGCTGCCCACCTGCTGGGTGAGAGGTACCACTGTCCTCACAGGTGTTCTCCGAGCCTGTGAGCTGAGAAGCATCAGGAGAGAATCACATCTGGGTCGAAAAGTCAGTGCAATGAAGAATCTGGAGTTATCAAAACTGAGTTGGGCCTCATGAATCAGATACGGGCATCTCTGAGCAGAAGACTTCCTCTACTGATGAATCTGAGATTGCCTGAAGGAAGGCACGTGACAGAGTCAGTGGGACACTATTTATACCTTATAGTAATTGGAGCTAAATCAGTTAAATACAAATTAAATACAAATTTAAATACAAATCCTGCCATGGAGTAAGCTGTGTGTGTCGATCTCATCCATAGCTGCCTTTAAGATCAAACATGTTACTTGGCCTTTTCCATAACGGGCACTGACAAGGGACATGAGTGTGCTGATGGCTGAGATGGACTTGGATTTACCAGGCAGAAGAGTGTAGCATGGAGAAGAGGGAGGATCGGGCATGCCTATGTCGAGGGCAGAAGCAAGGGCCTGGGAAACACTACTCCTGAGCATCCTTTGCCTAGTCAACCGGTGACTATCCAAAGAGGACCAATCTGAGTTAGGTCCCCATTCACATGCTCTCAGGGAGCCCTGAGTTCTCCTTTGCAGCATTCAGCACAAGACAGTGTATCTGGTTAGTTACAAAATGGCACTGCCCCTGACCAGGTGAGGGAGGGGGTGAGGGTCCCCCTGCTCACAGCTGATCTGGGGCAGGGACATAGGGAAGGCCTGTCCAGCATGTGTCAGCGTCCGAGTTAGTTACCTGGCCCTCAGAGTCTCCTGTGAGAGGGCTGTGCCTAAACATGTGACTGATGGACAAAATCCCAAAGGAACAACACGTGTTGCACGTGGAGGGGAGAGCCCTCCCGCATGGGACCCAGCGGGCTGGAGATGCTTGTATGTGGCCAATGGACATGGCATTGAGGGACACTGAATGCCACATCAGGAAAATGATTCTCTTTGTCACTGTCTTCAGTTTTTCTGACTAAGGCAAGGAGAGGGGCTCAAGGTGGAGCCAGGTGTCTGGACTCCCCTAGAACAGGAGCTCCAAGAACGAGCAGGCAAAGGTGATCTGGAGAAGGGCAGTGTTTTTATTTTTGAGGCAGTGATAGAGTTATTTTATTAAAAAAAATTAACTGTAGAATACATAGGAGGTAAATGAATGCACAGGTGGTGCCTGGAAATGCTAAAATCTGAGAAGGCGGCTCTCAGAGCCTGGTCTGCAGACTCAGCTCACTGCACCTCCTTCAGCTCGATTCCTCCCTTGTTGCTCAGTCAGGAATAAAAGACAGGAAAAGTGAGGGGAAGTCAGAGCACAGTCACCACACTGAGTGTTGCCACAGAGTCCTGAGTGTGCACTAGCGAGCATGGCCCCAGCTCTGGGCTGAGCTTCCGGCACCCAGTGCAGAGGGAAGCTTCCAGGTCAATCCCGACTCTCCACCTGCTGTGGGCGTGTGCTGTCACCAGTGTGATGAAGACTGTGTGCCAGCTCCCTAAGAATGCTCTCTCTCTCTCTCTCTCTCACTCACACACACACACACACACACACACATACACCCTCTTATGCAACATCCCGGGGTCTACGGAAGAATCTCTGTCCACAGGAGCAAAGCCCCTCTATGCCCCATCCCAGCCCTGCCCCCTGGTACCTCAGGACCCTGTCCCTGCTCTGGATGGACCACCTTGCAAAGGGCCTTATAAAATCATGGTGACTTTTTTCTTTGTATGGTTTATCTATAGCACTAAGTTTCATAGTAAGATAGTGGGGAGAAATTCTCTCTCTCTTTTAGACAGCTTTAATGAGAGATAAGTCACATAATATTCAGCTTACAGTGACAGTTCAATGGTTTTAGGATATTCACGGATATGTGTAACCATCATCTCAAGAGCCAATTTAGGACATTCTCATCACCTCAAAAGAAACCCTGTGCCCTTTAGCTATGGCTCCCCTCCCCTCCCATCCCTAAGGGACCACTGATCTACTTCCTGTCTCTATAGATCCCCCTTTTCTCAACTTTCACATGAGTTGAATCATATAATAAAAGGTGGACTTTTGTGACGGGCTTCTTTCATTTAGCATGACATCTTTCAAGGTGAGAAATTCTCCCTCAAGGGGACTGTTACAAAATATCTCTTCCCTCACAGCACACCCCACTGGCCATTCTGACCCTCTGGGGACAGTGAGTGATTTGTCTCATCTCTCTGGAGCCTCCAACAGCAAAGAGCTGAGGAACCTCTGAGGCCGGGGAGATTCTCACAGGAAACATGCCACCAGGCCCCTTCTGTTCCAGAAACATATTTTAAGTGACACATCATGTGAAGGGAATGTCCTCAGCACAGAGGAAATGATTAAACCTGGGGGTTTGCTCCCAGGAGATGGGCAGTGGGCCTGCCCTCTCCCCCTCACAGCCCTGCCCAGCAGGTGCCCCGGGGAGAAATGCAGGGCGACCTGCACAGGGGACCATCTGGGAGGGGGGCTGACGTGGGTGCAGAACAACCCTGAGAGAGGATGTGGCAGTAAGGAAAAAAGACGAGGCTGAGAAGAGAGAGAGTGTGTTCCCCGCTAGACGTCTGTGACAGTGCCCTGGACACAGACCCCGCTGCTGTGAGAATTCCAGTGCAGATGCGTGTTGGAAGGGGTAACGGCTGTGACAGCTGTGCATGTGTGCAGGCTCCACTCCTCCCGGCACATGCCAGCCCCCGCAGCACCTGCACCACGCAGCGTCTGCACGGGCTGGGAGTCCACGTGAGCCCTTGAGAGGGGCTCTCAACCAAATGTGCTGGAGGAGGCTGGAGCATGTGACTCAGCCTCTCGGGCCTCGGCTCCCTCATCTGTAAATGGCAATTTGCAGCTGTCTCCCCACTTCGCGGGCTGGTGCAAACTGGGTGAAACTGTGGATGTCAGTGTAAAGCTTCTAGCACCGTGCCCAGCGCCACCCAACAACTGGGGTTAGACACTGCCCACCCAGGAGCCGACAGCCCGGTGGAGACAGATGCAGAGGCAGCCAGTTACAATGCAGGATGATCTCCAGCCCCGAGGGGGCAAAGCAGCCTGGACTGGGGCATGGGCCCCTCGAGTCTTGCTGGGAGAGGTGGCCGTAGCTGGTTGACCTGGACAAAGGGTCAGGAAGGAGCTCCGGGGGAGGAGAGAGTGCACGCCGCGTCCAGAGGAGCTGAAGCACAGTGAGGGCGCAGAAGGCCGGGGAGCCGCGCACGAGGTGGGGGACAAGGAGTGGCAGGAGATGGGGCTCGAGGGAGGGAGAGCTGGAGACAGCACTGGCCGCGGGGCCGGTGTGAAGGCCTCCGAGGCCCTGCTCAGGGGAAAGCCGGGACTCAGCGTGAATCGTGGACACAGCCCGTGCCTGCCGCGGTCCCACACTCAGTGTGCAGAGAGCAGCAGGGCGCGGGCGCTGCGCCCACCGCCGGGAGAGAAGGCCTCCTGGGCAGGGAGCATCCACCCACCCTGGCCTCAGGACCCCACTGGACAAATATTGTCAAGAGCAAAGGGGTAGCGAGAGGTCAAGCATTTCCCTTCGTACAGAAAACTCTAAGCGGCTCCAGTTTCCAGGTGACAGATGCTCAGAGGCGACCATCTTGACAACGTCAGGCACACAGGTGGAGGCACTGCCTCAGTTTCCCTTCATGTCTGTCCACAGCACAGGCCGGACTTCCCTCCACCACCGCCTGCACCTGGGTCACCGTTCTCCACACCAGAGAGGGGGCGGCTGGCTAGGGTGCTCTCTGACAAAGGTCTCTAAGTCGGGTGGACCGACAGTCCCCTGGGGTTGAGCTCTCTCTCTGGGCCCCAGGTCCTCAGGCTAGGAAATCG